GTTAGGAAGAACAACCTTCAGAAGACGGCCAAAGAGCCCGAAAAACCCACAACAACCATTAGATCCCGGGCGTGAAAGCCTTCGCGAATACATTAAATCAAACCCAGGTTCAAACATCTCTACCTATAAATATAAGGCTCCTTGGGAGACATTCTGCCAGTCACACTTTTGTCAACCTAACCTATGTTAAAAGATTGGTTATGAGATGGAAGAACTGTGCAGGGATGAGCCTGGGTTATTCTGGGAGCTGTCATGCAAGCAGGCAGGCAGTGAAGGAAGGAAGGAAGGAAGGAAGGTTTTGCCATCTCTGGAACTTAGGTACATACTTAGCCTCTAGAGGAGAACCAGGATATACATGTAAAAAAACATTGTTCCACTTGAGATTGTTTTTTTTTTCAGAGGCTCCACACGATGGAAGGAAGGAAGGAAGGAAGGAAGGAAGGAAGGAAGGAAGGAAGGAAGGAAGGAGGGAAGGTTTTGCCATCTCTGGAACTTAGGTACATACTTAGCCTCTAGAGGAGAACCAGGATATACATGTAAAAAAACATTGTTCCACTTGAGATTGTTTTTTTTTTCAGAGGCTCCACACGATGGAGCTGGAATTCCTGTTCCCTTTCCACATTTTTATTATACATATCATTAAAACCCTCCAGCCTTGGAACTCAGGGGAGACTAATGTACACAGATTGTATACTATATTTCCACTTTTAACTCAAAGGCCAGAACTCACATCGCTCTCAGGTAATATAAAGCTATGGAGGCGAAACCTTTTTGCCGGGCGTTCTGCTCAGCCCATGCAGACTGCACAACTCAGCGGTGCAGTGGGTCACAGGGTTCCCACTGCAACCAGGAGGGGGGGGGAATACAGTGCGACATGCTTTGTGGGGGGGCACATCTGCCTTGGCACTACTGTCACTACCATGGGGGTAGCTTGAGTTACATCTCTGTAGCGACCGAACCAGTCCTCCGTTGCACCTCCAGGAGTCCTGAGAACAAGAGTAAGGAGAGAAGCAAAAGGGATCTCTCTGCCTCTCAGCTTCCAGTCGTGACATCTGGACTCCCAACATGTGAGGAAACTGGACGACGCTCCAGATCTGTTCTCCGTGGACGCTTACGGGACGGACATGTCTGTTTCGCTTCTGTTCTTGCCTGCCCCCAGTGAGTCAGAGGAGAACGCCAAACCTCTCGTCAGTGGTCAGTGGTGTCTCAATCCACCGGATGGTGAGGGATGGGGGGGAAAGGTGTGGGGGTCAGTATGCACTCACGAGACCCTGCACATGGTTTCATGTCCTTCTTTCCTGTCCTGGACTTACCCACCTCCTTCCTACATGAAAGAGTCCCACAGCTGGTTCCCTTTGTCCACTGGGGGTGGTGGGTGGTGGTGGGTTCACTCCACACACATACAGACCATGGTTTCTGTTGCCCCTTCTGCCTTTTACCGCCTGGAGAATGTCGGCTCTAACCTGCTGCACTGACTCTGAGGCCACCCCAGAGAGTGGCAGCTCGGTTGCCGATGCTTCCCGCCCCGTGGACTTTACCTCCTCCATAGCAGTTGCACAAGGGGGTCAACGCTCCCCCCTCCTTTGAGCTCACCTCCTTTGGTGACTCCAGGATTCCTTTCCCCACCAGTCACAAACAGCTCAGGCCTGAATCGAAGTAAGCTGAGAATTTTTGGCCCCAACGCCCATCACTCTAGGCTTGCTGATATAAACCCATCTTCGCCATTTTGACGCCACAAACTCTTCACACTCGCACACACACCTCTTCCAGCATGCTGAATTATTGGTCCAGTTCATATCCTGAACCCTGAGGGAACTCTCTCTCTCTCTCTCTCTCTCCCTGCCTCCTGTTCTTTCAGAAACGAAGTCTGGATCACAGCAGGGGCTCCCATGGAGTCCAATCCCCTCGTGATGCACAAAATCCACAGCCCAAGCCTCTGTCTTTAAAAACGCGCAGCCCAGGAAGGCTCAGCTTTGCCCAAAACAAGCCACTCCAGCCTCAGACGACTCTCCCCCCCAAGAAGTCAAAACATTTTGTTCTTTTTTGGCAGTTTGTACCCATGGTTTGGCTCCTGCCCTCTGGAGCCACAGGAAACGAGTGGCTGCTCCATCTTCCACAAGAGAGGGGAACCCTAGGTGTGTGCGAGAGCTTCCATTGAGGACAGTCCAAGCTATTTCCAAATCCACCATCCTTCCTTCGCCCTCTGGTGTCCCCACACTGGGGCTCCGGTTCAACGAAAGAGCAGCTCTTGCTGAATCTGCCCTGGCGAAGGCATATAGCCCAGGAGACGTCATCCCCTGGCCACTCAGGAGAGGCGGATGCTCAGCCCCCCCCCTCTGCCAAGAAGCCTCGCGGGGTATCCTTGATCCAAATATACAGTTATTTGACTAATTCAAGCACTTGTGTTCTGTCTGTGGGTCTACAGGACACCCCCTTGCAATGTGAATTCACATAAAGTACAGAAACATGCAATCAATGGACCTCGTCCCGCAACCCCAGGCTAAGAGAACAAACCGCCCAGCCTAAGAAATCCCCCTACAGAATTCCGAGAAGGAGATGCCGGCTCTGGATGGCCTGCAGAGAAAATCATGGCATTCCAACAGTACCTCTCATGGGTCTTCGCTTGGGAGGTTTGACTGCGAGAAGCTGCCGGCTGACCCAGCCGCCAAGGAGGAGGAAGTGGGAAGGGGCAGGCTGCCTGGGGAATCAGGACCCTGAGTCCCCTTGATCCCTGGGGTTTCCATGGGGATCAGGACAGGCAGCCCGGCCACCCCTCCTCCTGCTCCTCCTCCTCCTCCTGCTGCCCCCTGGCTGACCTCGGTGTTGCAATCCCCAGAAAGTAGGTGGGCAAAGGAGTCACGTCCAGCTGGCACAGTGCGGGCGAGGGACCCTCCGACTGCAGGAGGGACCCTCCGAATGCCGCAACTCGAAGGCAGGCGGGAAGTCCGGGCAGCCAGTGGTTCTTCCTTGCCCACGTGTGAAGTACGGTTCACTCGGTGGGCCATCCAAGACATGCCAGGTGGATAGTTTTAGGGGGCTGCAGGTGCACCCCTTGGAAGAGACAGCTCTGAGTTGGGGGTGGCAGGGGGGAGCAGAACCTGCAGGCAACGGCTTGATTTTCAAAACCAGGAACCCAAGCCTGTTGCTTGTGACCACCTTTCTCACTCGCAGCAAGCTCAGGGGGTCCAGAAGGGTGGCACCAAAGGGGGCCAGCAAGCCTCAGGGCACCGTCAGCGTCAGCGCTGTCAATGACACCTCCAGATCACAGGACCTGACTTGGCGCCCCTTCCCGGGCCTGCCTGTTGGGAGCTCTTTCCCAAGGAAGGGAAGGGAAGGGGGGGGGGGTCCTGCAGGCGTCGCCCTGGCTTTTTTTATTTTTTATTTGTTGGCAAACGACAACATGGACCCTGGAAGAGCCCACCTGATGCCTAGCTGGGGGCAGGGGAGAGGGACGCCAACCGGCATCCAAGGCTTTAGCTGAGTAGCGACACCAATTAAACCAGCAAAGAATGCAGCCTTAAAGGGGACCTTTGTTCCCACACATGCACGCGCATATGCACACAGATCATGGCAAGGGCCCCACTTAAGTCGCAACTTAGTCCCCCTCCCCTCTCTCCCTCTCTCTAGCCCCGAACCACCAGCGCACAGGCAGCGGAGAAGCACGACTCTCTGTCCTGGGGGGCAAGAAAAGCCACCCATTCGTCCCGCGAACGAGCTCGAGGGGATTAACAGCCAAGCTCAAGCTGCTGATCTGGCCTTGGCCGGGTCGTCTCCTGCCTGGGGCCCAGGCTTTCCCTCCGAGGAGGCGGCCGCCCGTCCCTGCGGTGGAAACCGAGGCCACCCGCCCCGGCGGTTGGCGAGCGCTGGCTGCCTGGAGGAAAGGAAGGGCCCCCGCAGGGGATCAGGGCCGAGAGGTGGCCTCCGCCTGCTCTCCAGGTGGTGCTGCTGCTGCTGCCCTGTGGTCTTGGGCAAGCCGCCGCCCCCCGGCCCCGATCCTGTATTGCAGGTAGCCGTCACAACCGC